AGGTTGGGGACATCGATTCTTGGATGGCTATCATTTTTGATACGAGTGTCTAGGGCAACCATACACATGTAGCGGGTGCACGCTGCTGTGCTCCGCACTAAACACAAAGTCATCGCGGCACCTTCCTGCTAGACCCTGGCAAAGCGCTTAAGCTTGCTTACTGTGAGAATCACGCGGGCGAGAAGCGCACCCCTGCAGCGCGTACGCGCGAAAAGTCGGTGTGGCTGAGCGTGGGCGCCCTCTTGATGCACGTGTGGCAGCTGCAGTGAACCACGCTGCTGCCGCATGCTGCCGCCACCTCTTCTAGAAGGCAAGCTTCGCCCAATGCGGGTTGTCCTCCTGCGCCGCCTCCACCAGGCCCTTCCCGTGGGGCAGCGGTGGTGATCGCGCTGCTTGCGCCAATTCCAGTCTCCTTGCCTTGCGTGCACTGCCCTCGGAGCGGGCCGCGGCGCGCATCCTGCTAGGAGGCCGGCGCCGGCGTCGCTTGCAATGTCCGCCTAGCGGATATGAACATCATGTTGCCGGTCTCCGACGACCAGCGCATTGAAGTTGTCGCCAGTGAGCTTCCATTGTGGCACGGATCGGAAGAGGTGGTCGACGCCACCATTGTCAGTCCTGTCGCGCCAGCTGGTGAGCCGCAGCCTGGTGCTGACGTGCGGACCCCACTAACGTCTCAGGCCCTGGGCGTGCACATGGTCTGCACTGGGACCACGGAAACTGGTTGCAAAAAAGGCGCGGAGGAAAAAATCTCTTCACGGGGCTGTGCCTCGGTTGTAAAATTTTTTCGTGGCACTGAGGGTAAGTAAGTCCGACGTCAGTGCATCAGCCACAGATCCCAACCATCGGTGCACTGCACTGTATGCGTGAGAGCGCAAACAAGAAAATGTCATCAGCGAACTTTAGATCTGTCAATGATTCGCGATCCTAGTGCACCCGCACCCGCTCGGCATTGCCGAGCTGGGCGAGGCAGTCTGGCGAGGTGACAAGTCACCAGCCGAGCGAGGGGTCCTTGTTCTAGGCACACCTAGCGTGCACCCTGAGTCAGAGGGTATGCCAAATTGCATGACGCGGCCATCTGGGACACTTTGCGGTCTCCTTGTGAGGAGGATGCGCAGCATGCGTTGTTTCTTGCATCTTTGCCAACGGCACTGGGCGGGCTGGGCCTCACTCAGCAAAGCGCACAGCCCCGGGGCGTGTGGGCAGACGCACTGCCCGTGATGCGCGCCGGCTTTTGCTCAGCAGTGCTTTGAAACGAGGCTGGAAATGTGAACCCGCAGCTTGCCCAGTCTCCGCAAGGCGGCAGAGGCATGAGCGCATTGCAAGCAGAAGGGTGGCATGAATGCCCTACCTGGTGCACCCTATTGCAGGGGGCACATCCGTCCCCAGCTCATTGTGGCAGATGCTGGAGTTGCGGATACGCAACCTTCATCGCGACCGTGTGCGATTGCCAGCCTCGCCACCCAGGTCCCAAGCGCGCTTGCGCTCCCAGGCAGGGCGTCATTTATTCGCGGCCAGTCCGATTGAGCCGGCTCCGCCAACCCCTGTCACTGTGCCTGAACACGTGCGGCCGGATGCATGGGTGTGGAGGGGCAGTCGCCGCTATGGCAACCACGCCCCCGCACAGGTCCGCCCGCCAAGCGGGCATAGGTTGGGTGCGTGTCGAGGCATTAGGACTAATCATTAGGAGCGGACGGCCAATTGTCCCACCGCAGCCGCAGCCCCAAACGTTGGAGCAGAAAACCGCCACAGGCTTGACCCTGTCGTTTACGGAGCTTTGCCTTCCAGCTAAGTCGAATGCTTTCAACACATCCAAATTTAGAATCCAAATGCGCATGTTTGATGCTCTGCTTTTGTCAACGGTGATGCTTGTCGTCAATAAATGCTCATTTGTTCGGCGGTGCGACATTCCCACACTTCCACGGTCTCACAATTTCACACTTTTCGGAACCACTGGTAAACAACGACACGGGGTTCTCATCGAAACAAACAGTAGATGGCCAGTGCACGGGGGAAGAACGGGAAACACATCAAAATGAAGAACCATGGTTGGACAGGCGGACAGCTGAAGAACGAGAAGCAATGGATGCGTGCCACAAGTACACAGCACCGGCAGGGCCGGAGGATCTTTCGTGCCAGGTTCCAGTCGGCAATGATTTTGTCCAGGTTTGGGTGCTGATCATGCAACGAGGAGGGCATGCAATGGAAAGGTAATGGAAGAGGAAGTCCGTGATTTGGTTGCATATTTTCAAGTGGCAGACTAGACATGGACGGCATGGGAGCAAAATAACAAATGGGTAAACACACCGTACGCTTTGGGCGCCGTGTGGGCGCTAGCTTGCATGTGGGCGTGAGGCACGAAGACACGGGTACAACGAGAAAGAAGGAATTCAGCCACACCAATGGGAATTGAAGTACGGAAATGATGTCGAAGGGACTCGGAATTGTATAGGGTCCCCAGAAGTGTCTAAGGTCCCCATCGGCATATCGATGCCAAAATGTTACCAGACATGCAAGTAGGCAGGCAAATCAGTGTTGACAAGATTTGTTCGGACGGGGTCAATCTTAGGGGAAATGAAGGTAAGTTTGCAGTTGGCCCTGTGACGCAGCTTGGCAGATTCACAGCAAAGTCAGTGCACGTTGCAGAGTTCCTCTTGATGTGAAATGCGGGGATTGTGTAACTATAGCGATAAGAATACAATTTTAACTATAACTACCAATGGGCTTTTGCAAGCTTTGGTTGGGTGGGTGGACCAAAAGCAGAGGGTGGGGTGGTTCAGTCAACTGTCAACTTTTCTTCGAGCATTTTTTTTCCGATTTTTCTTTGACAGGGCAAGTGCCACATGGGGAACCCTCCCCCACCTCCGCGGAACGCGTGGCATGCATAAGAATGGCATGCATAAGAAGAAGATGAGTTGGAGATAGGACCAGATAGGAGAGGGGAGAAGGCAGAGTCCTCGGTTGGGGCTTCGCATATGAGTTCCGCCTATTGCACGTGGTGCGTGTTATCTTCGACACGTGTTTGCATTCGGGTGCGTGGTTCTTATAAGGTTCAAAAGGTTTGATCAGTAGCGATCAGCATGACATTTTGTCATTATTTTTGCAAATCTCCCCATTCTCCCCCGCATCTTGTCAACAGGCTTGTGAGTGGTTCGTGCAATCCACATGCCATCTGACCATATTTGCAAAATAGAACTGTGCCCTTCCAAATCCACCCGTTTTTTAGCCATGCCAGTTTACGTGGCAAACCCGGCCGCATTTTCAAGGTGGGCCAAGCTAGCCTCAAAAAAGGACCGCCCCATCACCTTGGCGCCATTAGCCTCAACCTTGTCGCAATGACCACTGAGTGAGCGTGTCAATATTTGCAGAGGTTAGGTTGCTTGAAAAGCAAGGTGCTTTCCAAGATGTTTGCCCGAGCAGCATGACATGTGATCATTGTTTCAGCATGTTTGATCACGAATGTCCGATGTCTCCGCTCCAGGAAGATCCTAAGGGTCAGACTGGTTACGGCTCACGCCATTTTTGCGCATGCAACACGGATTTTGGCCTGAGCTTGATCCACTTCATTGTTTCGATATTCCGTCTCGGTGTTGCAAAGCGTCGTTTCATTCTTACTATTGCGTCCATGGGTCCATGGGGCATCAAGGGTATACAGAATCTGACTATGCGTCACCAAATCCAGTCGGCGCATGTCGGCTGGGCTGGTGTTGCGTGCTGTGGTTTGCGCCAGAAATTGGGGTGGGACCACTTGCCCATTCGGGTGTACATATACTGCCTCTCTGACCATCCGCGCCCGTGCCAAATTTTCCATTTTTGCTTGGCAAGCCAAAGGACATGTCTTTGGGGCAAGGCATGGTTGCGGGAGGCATAGGCGCCAGCGGGATTGGTGTTTCTGAGTGTTTGTTTTTCTTCATAGCTCAATTGCCGCGAAAACACTAATAACAGCATGTTTCAGGCAGGGTTCAAGTCTGGAATTGCACGCGTGCGTCACCGTGGCGACCAGGGCACAATTCAGCCAGCTGGCGGGAGTCAGGCTAATCACGCAGACTATTTGGTGGTTTCTGTGGCCCTCAACGCATTTCACATCATTTTTTTGCCGTATCCGAACTGGTGTTGCATGCACGCATTGCTTGATGATCATTCTGCCAAAGCCGATCGCCACCATAGTTTCTGCAGGAAGCCTAACGTGACCATTGTTTGGCTTCAGCCGCATAGCTTCTTCCCTCCACGCTATCGCGCGCCTCTTACTACTTCATCCGCATAATGCTGCCGCCTAAGTTGACCACTTTTTGTTGATTGCTGTGAGTTGCCTTCGCGTTGGTGAGGTACACCTTACTCTACATAAATTTGGCCATCGCGGTTGCTGTCCCCCAGCAGGTCGCAGACCTGCATGTTACTTGCAGGGCATGTGAGGCCGCGGTGTTGGTCGTGGCCAGGACCTGTCCACTTCACACACTTTGGCACGTGATTCGGAGGTGCGCTGCTGAGCAGATTTTGTTGGCTGGTGCCTGTTTCGAAGCATGTCCTTCCAACAAATTGATTGCTTAAGCACAAGGGCGTGCCTTGTGAATGCAGTTGCTTCTGGGTGCACAAGACGTATAATCACCATGAAGTTGGATTGAAGAGTTGGCTTGTGTGATTTCACGTGACACATTTTGCCAGATTATAAATAGGATGGGGAGCATGAAGACGAGTGGTAGGTAGGAGAAGCTTCTTGAGCATGAAGCCTGCAAGACTATTCTCCAGGTGCCGCCAAGACCTGCTCGTGCTGCAGGCCATTTTGCAAGCTGCTGATCTTCTTGGCTATGTTCAGTCTCATGTAGAGGAAGCCTCAGAATCAATGGCAACTTGCTCTCTGTTGGTTGGGGGCGTTGTTCAAAATGTAGCGTGCTGTGTGGAAGGTCTCCTGCAGACTACCCGCGGTGCTGAGCGAAACCACTCGCAGCCTGCCAATGAGGCAGCTGCAGTAAACGCCCCCGTGCATCCAACAACACGATGTGCAGGCAACGATCTTAATGGAAGAAATGGCTGGCATGTTCACGGACACACGCAGCACCCCTGGCTGGCTCATGGTCCGTACCTTGGGGTGAGGAAACTGTGTGGACCCGCATGCCATCCATCTCCTACTAAGGTACTGAGCCTCGGGCTAGCTGGCTGTGCGTTCGCACTGTATGCCTACAATCCGTTTGCGGGAACGAAGGGCACCGCCGAGCAACTTGTGGTGCTGCCGCCCGGTGTTAGCTGTTAGCTTATGGTACAGTCTCTCCGGATGACAGTTGATGACAGTACAGGAGCGTGGTTGCTAGTGTTCTTGCCAGGTGGATGGCCAAAAGGAGGCATATGATTTGGCTTGATGGTGTACTTCGTGTATTTACTTCAATAATCATGTGTGGTTCGAGCAAATGCTGCTGCGAAGGCATGTATGGCAGCAGCAGAGGAACCTGAGCCTGAGGCCGTTAGAACCTCCAGATTTGTTACAATGATCTGCCATATTGTTGTGCCAGTCAGGCAGTTCACCAGGGAGGAGCTGCCACACAAGATTTCGAGACCTTGCCTTAGCAGTGCCCAGTCCAGAGTTGCGGGGGATGGCTGCGTGCAGCATCTTGCGAGGTCGTTGGCAAAGACGCTGGCCCAGTCGGTCGCGCAAAGAATCGGACCAAAACTGGCCAAGGGGCAGGCTCACCGAATGCGCCTGCAAAGAAGACGTTGTCTTGAGAAACTCCGGGACATGGGTGCAAGGCAGTGCGCGGCATTCTTGAGTCAAGCCCTCGTCATCTCTGCATTTGAGCGATCCAGGTGGGTGCTTTGTGAGGTCACGCCTGTACCAGTTCCCAGACAAGGAGTGGAGCTGACTTCGCATTTGGAACGTCGGAAGGTAACATGAGACCAAGCCAGGCCAAGACGTTTTTGATGAACGAGCTAAACAGTACAGCGGGAGCAGCCGCGTGGCCTGGGGGGTGGAAGTGTTCTGTTGCGGTGCGCTGGAGTGGACTGTTGCTTTGCAGAGCCTGACACATCATGGCATCTCTGAGGTCATGCGGGCCATTGAAGCAGAAGAAGCCATGATTCTGTTGGATCTGGATCTGACCTTAGTTTCCCGCGGCCGGAAGGGAGCGGTGAGGAAGCAGGTCTGTCGCCAAGCTAAGGACAAAGCTCTGTCTGCCAATTTCCCACCGGCAATTCTGCCATGTAATTTTGCTTCTGGGATGATGCGTTGTAGATTTCTCCAGAAGTTTGATGTCCTGTCAGCTCTCGATGCTTCTGGCGGGATTAATCTCCCCAGCGCTGCTCAACATCTCTATGTCGGCCTTGCGCATGCTGGATCCTTTGTGGAATTTGTGGAGCCTCCACCGCTGATGGTTGTGTTGCGGCTTGTTCTACCTTGTGCCAGAGGGTCTAGAATTGTGAGAATGCCAAGGCAAAACACCATGGTTGTTTTGCCGGTCCTTTTGCTGCTCGGGCCCCTTCATATCTGTAACGTCTGAGCTCGCAGATTTCTGACAAAGGTGCGGTTGGGCCATGTGGCAAGATTATGGGGCCGATTGTGCCTTTACAGCAGGCTCTGCTCTGCACTGCGGGAGGGTGTCGTACCACTGCTCAGGCTCCATACCGACAATGACCATTTGGGTGAAGGCAGCTTATATTGCGTGAATCTTCGTGGCCTTCATTGAGTTCTGCAAGGCTCAAGTGTTGATGGCGCTGTTCTTGGGCATTTGCAATGGCTGGGTCCCCAGCTCCAGCTGTGCTGAAGGCCATGAATCCAGGAAGTCGTACCGTTGGCAGGAATGGTTGCCCTGAAGATATCCCAGGGCAAGAAGGCAATGGACGTCCAAAACTCGGGTCGACCACCTCAGGGTTATGTCAGGCAATTGTCGTTGGGCTTGTTGGCATTCATGCCCGCAGCTTCTCAACTCAGTCTTTTGTAAAGCCTTGGCTGCTGATGCTGGTCGAGGCTTGCATCCTACCAAGTCCTTCTGTGTTACCATAGACTGAAAGCTGCACCGTCTTTGAGCGCCTGCAGTTGAGCTTTGTGCCACGAAGGATCCGAATTTTCCGGCCTCCTACCGCTGATATCAACAAGGTGGTGGATTGACAAGCATCACGCTAGTTCTTTCAATGTGGTTGGTAGATTCGGGGTGGCCAACGTCTGTGATGCAAAAGAGTTGGAGCACGCTGGACTTGGAGCGTGATCTCTGTATCAAAGCTAGCTGATGACGGGTCTTCTGCTTTAACGAACTCACGTGCCCTGAGATGTCTGGCTCCATGCGAAGAGCTCTACGTGGCTTGGGTATGGCTGCAGCTGGCGTGTCCGTGGCGGGTGCGGCTCAAGCAGCTCACCTCCGATGGAGGTATTGCTGTCCAGGTACTGGTGGCACATACAGCCGATACGTACTTGCGGTACTAGTCCATCAGAGAATCAGAGGGTTGAATTGAGTTTGCTGTAAGCCGCCTGTAGCCCTGAAAGGAGAGCCGCCCGGCGAGCGCCACGGCCATGCAGGCCGCAACTATCAAGGAAAGCCCTTGAAGCTTCTCTTTGTGGGTGACTCCATTGCCGTGGGCGTCGGGGCAAAGATGGCAGCTCCATTGCAAGCTGCATGTGCAGAGCGGTTGGCCAAGATCCAAAGTCGGCCTGTGGAGTGGCGCACAATCGCGGCCAATGGTGCAGACGTGCGCGAGCTCCACGCGCTTGTGGATGAAGGCGACCATAGCTTCGACATTGCGGTGGTTTTGTGCGGAGTCAACGATGGCAAGAAGTTTTTGCAAGGCCCACTGACAAATCATCACGCCGGTAGACCCGGTCCATAACTTCTTGAATAGCCTTAGCACCTTGTCAGGCCGATGGCCCTCACATTTTCGCGAGGACTTGGCTGCGCTTTGTGGCACTTTGAAGAAAGCGGCTCCCGAAAGTGTGATCACGGTTCCACAACTAATGGGCGGCTTGGTGTCGAAGGGGTTGCCCTTCCTGTATCCGTTCTGCTTTGAACTGCCTGAACTCCAAAGGTCATGTGGAAGCCCCATTGTTTCAGCAGTGGCCAATGTGCCACTTGGTGGATGCTGCGACCTTATCTAGCAGTGATCTGAGGGACCCTGAGCAAATTGCAGACAAATGGGTTGCAAATGCACGGAGTGGTTGACTCAGGCACTCTTTGGCCAGTTCGAAGCACAGAAGACGGCGTTGGAAGCCTGCGGTGCGGTAAGGTGTCGTGGCGGCGTTGAGTTGTCCTGGAATCAGTTTTGGTCTGAAGTGCGCCAGATGCCCACAGACTGACACCATTTCCGCGTATCCACAATGAAAGGGAAGGATATAGCATTTTGAAGGAATCCAAGATTCGAAGCATGGACAGGCAAGTCATGTACTGTTGGGTGGTTGCAAGCCGGTGGCAAGCAAGTTGGAAAAGGATGCCTAGTGCATGACAGTGGAGTGGTGAGGCCTCTGTCTGTTGACTCTGCAAGACCAGTTCTTAAAGCAGACGCTCGCTGGTGGTCTGTGGACGGCGTCCATCCCTCGGGGGAAGGCTACCGAAAATTAGGTGAGTGGCAACTGGGATGGCATATGGATGGATGCTGTAAGGTCCAAAGCTGGTAAGATCAGCAGCCTTTAGGTACCAACCTGCTTGAGAGGTTGGCTCCACTGCTCGCCAAAGTCCACAGCCCGCATTTGGCAGAGTAGCCCCTAGGCACTGAGTGGCCTTATTTTGCAATTTTTGCAAGACAACCTTTAGACCTACTGGTAGGGCATGTCGGCAGCGAGAGAGGGCCTGGTTCATGTGGTGTGGCTGTGACCTGACTCAGGTTTCCGATCGTTTGGACGCTTGCATTTGAGATGGCAGCCTTGACTGCCCAATCGTCTTGAGATATGATGCTAATTGCATCAACAGGTAGTTTTGGCCTAGCTTGGGCAGACCACATAATAGGGATAACGGCGTAGTGGCACGACAACACTTAGTTTATACATCTCTGTAGTCAAATTCAAGGGCTAAGATGCAGCCTTTGTAGTGTTGAAGGGATAAGCAGGCCAAGACTCTTGCCTGCATGCAGGGGCCGTTCTTTCGGGCAAGGGTTTCGGTTCGCAACTTGTACGTGCAGGCACGACCCGGGTTTCTCAAACATCTAGGAGCTCACAGCATATACTTGCTGCACAGGAGTCCTTGAACAAAGGGACCCAGATTCTTCGCAAGAAGTCAGACGTCAATTATAGGGTTTTAGCGGGATGCCTCCTCTGGACTGAAGTTTACAAGCAACCAGCCACAAGGCCACTCAGCGTATCCGCCACTTGCAGAAGTCAGTAGTCACTCTCTCACTTGCCTTGACCTGACAGTTGCTCAAGCCATAAATGACCGTTCTGTGCCTTACCATCGCTTGCTGGAACACAACGTAAGACGCGTGCATAGGTGGATGCCCACGTGATGGTTCTTGGGTGCACCAAGCACCATGCCAATATTTGTCGCTCGTCCGGGGAGTGCATGGAGATGGCAAATTGGGCCACGCTCACCCTGCCTCCACCAGATTTCTAACAAAAGGCTGAGCCTGGCATCTCACAAAGCTGAGCAGCTAGGGCTGGCTCACGACAAGCCCAAAATTTTGGCGCGAATGACATGGGTTGATGGATTGTCAAGTGTTTGTTTTTGGGGTGCGAAGCCAAAGCTTTGGAGCGTGTTGAAGGCAGGACTTGGGTGCAGCTGTACAGCTTCACGATTTTCCTCCAGAATGGATTCTGCAGTTGTGCTGCGCTTCGGGCTTCCCGCTTTTCACATTCCGGCGTTGTCCAGTGTTGTCAAGCTTTCGGATGCATCGCACAGAAACCCAGCTCGTTTGCACCGGACAAAGGACCATGACACATCTCACTTTGTGTACGGGTGCTAGCGTGTGGGCTTCTATGCCATGAGTAAGGTGAAAACCGAGCGACTACAGAGGCGAATTAAGGCCATCTGGGATCAATGGCTTTGTTGCATGAGCAACAAAAATTGTTCCACAATGGATTTGCTTTTGTGGCCCGTAAACTGATTCCAGGAAGCGCAGTCATCGGGCGAGTCGGGCGTTGGAGAACTTCGCGAGCTCTTCGTATGCAATTCGGTTCTCATACAGGAGGCGCGCAGGGCTTGGCACCATGTGTACTTGTTTACAGTAGTAGTCCAGTCGATGTGCCTTCTGCTTTGGCAGGCGCTTCTCCTGGAGGATGAAGTGAAAGCATCCGTTTGGTTCAATGCTTCTGGGGTTGCCACCGTGCTTTGGCTCGTCACGATCCTTGGATGCACGCGCAGACCTGGGCCACTGTTCCAGTTGACGCATGTCAGATGTCTGCGAGCTGGCAAGGACTTTGTGGACTTGGGTGCTCGTGTTTGGCTGGACTTTCGTTCCCGGAGTCACTGCATTTGACAAGGCTGCCGAGCACAGTTCCCAAGCTGAATCATGCCGTGGAGCGGTCTTGTTTCCAGCTTTGATCGCCACAGTGATTCCATCAGAGAGAGTGTTGAGCATGCTGACCTTCATCGTCGCTGAGATGCCAACTACTGCGGGGCTTGGGCTAGCGTACTTGACTCAGCTGCTCGAGCTCATGATTGACAAAAGTTGCCTGCAGTCTTGCCTTCAGCCAGGTCTTGGCTGCTCGGATCACAGCAATCCTGGCCGTTCTCTTTCTGGTCGTCAATATCATGACTGCCAGTCACCCAGAGGGAAGGAGGGAGTTGCCTGGCAACATGGTGTTGTTGCCACAAGATCCCCTCTCGCTGGTCTGCCTCCCTGCCCCTGGAGTTTGTCGTCAAAGCATCGGCTCGCTGAGGTAGTGAACTGGCTTGCTACGGTTCTCGTTGCTTCAGACGCCTTCTCTCAGTCCGTGTTGAAGAAGGCACGCCCTCGTCCGCCCACGCAACGTGAATCTAAGCACCTCAAGATTTTGGTTCCTAGCAGCAAGAAAGCCTGCAATGATAGTACCACCAGATTGGTTGGGAAATGATGGCCTCCGCAACTCTGCAGCATTGCCTGGGATAAATCAGACAGCTTCAGAGTGAGACAGTAAAGTGGAAGCTACAGCCTTACATATACCGCGCAAGGTAACTCAGCCTCAGTCAAGGGAGGATTGTAGGAACGTGCGGCTGCATTTGGTCAGGCAGTCGACATTGATCGGCAGTCGCCGGGTTCTAAGACGTGCCTGCGCGGCTGACATGAGCTAGAGCGTTGCGATTCACTAAGGTTGGGGTTCCCGGTTGCGCAGCTGTTAGTCAAGGCCTTGCTGTTGCGAGGGCGTGGCGGGCTCAAAAGGAAAGCAATCAAATGTTTTGGATGATAATAGCTGAAATGATCGACCGGCTGGCTTAGTGGGGCTCAACTGGCTGTCTGACAATCCACGTTGCAGTGCTCCACCAGCAACAGTTTTGTAGTTTTGTACAGCTAGTGCTATGGCACTGCGCTGCAGATGGATATACCTTCTGAGTTGCCTGCCTCTTGCTGCTGGATATGTCAAGTTGGGAAAGCACATCGTGAAATACACTGAAGACCCTTGGAAGGTACGCACTGTGTTCCGGTAGTCCACCGTGCCACACCAAAACGTTTTTGTTTTTAGGAGTATAGGTAAGGTAGCCAACGCGCCCATAAGTCAGAGCCTGATATTCTGAAAGCTGCTCCTCGCAGAAAAGACGCGTTCCCACTTGCGTAGCCAAAAGTTTCATCCTGCATCCCAGGAGAAGCTGAAGTACACCTTAGGCCGAGAAGACCGTCCTTCCATGCTTCTGGAAATATTCTCCCCAACTTGCCCTTCCTGCGAAGCCTTTGCACCGCACATGTCGAAAGCCGCAGAACGCATCAAGGAGGAAGCTCCTAACATTAAAGTTGTCGCGGTGGATGGTACTGAGGCAGAGTCAATAATGAAGGAGCTAGGGGCCCAGGAGTTCCCTTCGGTCTTCTACTTGGGCAGTGACAAGACAAAAGCCCGGTTGGAATTCAAGGAGGCTCACTCAGCAGATGCAATTGTGAGTTGGACGCTCAAAGTCTCGGCCCCTACCATCCAGAACATCAGCAGCGATGCTGAGCTGCCTAGCTTGGACGCATCGGGACTGCCTCAGTTGGTCCTGCGGTCACCTGCCATGGTGCCTGCCTTTGCATCCCTCGCGCAAGATTACAAGCTCGCGTTCCAGGCTTTCTGGATACAAGCTCAGGTGGCTCCACCGGTTTCCCAGGTCCTGCATGCCCAACAAGCCCCACGGAATTTCACTTGGACGGATCCTAAAGCGGACAGTCTCGATGATGATGGGGAGCTTTTCGAGGAGTTCATGAAAGAGAACCTTCTACCCGCATCTTCTCTTCTCAGCGTAGAAGGATTTTCCCTGCATGAATTTTGCAGTTGCTGCGTGTCAGACTTGAGACAGTGAGATGCCCAGGCAATCATCATGGTTTCAGACGTCAAGAAGGCATCTAAAATGCTTGATGGCCTTGAAGCTGATGCGCAGCTACTTTGGCTGGTTCTCAACTCATCCGTGGCCCAGGCGTGTATTCAAATCATGAAAGCCAGCATAGCTATGCATGAGTTGTCTTTTGCTTTAGCTGTGTTGGTTCTATGATTGGATGGGGAGGGGTCATATGCTGGATATTCGCGTATGGGTGAGATGACTTCCTTGCTCTTTCTGCGCTCACTACATGTGCTTGGCCATGGTACGAGTGACATCATGCTTGGCGAGGATATCAAACCTCCCTACTCCTGTAGTGTGCACTGCCATTGCAGGGTCATGGCGCGAGGTATGCTCATACCTTGCCGTTGCGTCAGACCGTCGTCCGCCTTGTGAAGATTTGTGAGGTGTTCTACGCCCTCGCGTGGTCATCAAGCGTCCTTCCTCCTCTAGTGTTCATGACATTTGTGTGCTCATGATACGCGTAGCATCATGCCAGGTGGTTTCATCAAATCTTCTTCTGTACCCTTGCATGGTCATTGTCGGGTAGCATGAGGCATTCAACCTCTCTACTCCTTCTCTGCGCTCTGTGTGGTTGTCACTACCTTTGCATGCTCGTAGCACGAGTAACATCAGTCCTGTAGATTGCATCATGTATCCTTGGACCTCCATTTCTCCAACAGCCATATCGAAGGTCCTCCGAAATTACGACGTGTTTTCATGCGAAATCACACCCGAGAGGGGTTTTGGAGCCCTTTGTTCGGCCTGCTGGATGAGACCCCTGTGGCGTTAAAACTTTTCTCCTAGCCGAACCTCCCAACTCTTTCTGATCTTTTTGCTGTGTTCACTGCCCGTGACAACCAGTGAAGAAACATCAAGCAGCGGTTGTATCTAGCCTGTCCTTATGTAGCTGGGGAGGGAGACGTTCCGGCACGTGTATTTTCGTGCGCTTTTCTTCGGAGGGGTGGGGGCGGGTGGAGCGGGCGGGGGGTTGTGATTTTGTTCTGTTCGGACGCACGCCCGCTCCTGGTGGTGATTCAAGCCGTGCGACCTAGCACATGCACGTCTGTGGCTGGCTGGCGCCTGCCGTTACAGCGGCATTGCAGCTGCGTGAAGCGGCGGAGATGAGGGAGTGAGGGCCCCGCGAATACCCTCATACATATCATATAGATGCGATAGGGGTCTGAAACAGAATGTCTGGAAAATCCCTTCAACATGTGGTTGAAGTCGAGGGGACTGCCTTCCCCCCCTGCGTTATGATTTTCCTTGAAGCAAGTACAGTGCTTCGCAAGCTCCATCAAAACGCAACAGCACGGGATTGTGTACTTGCGCGGCTCCTAGTGCTTGGAGGCCCCGCGACATTGCCCTAGTAGTTACTACCCTTTCAAGGACATGATTCGAATAACATGCTGTCAGTGGTCGCATTGAACCTCCCTCCTCCCTCTGTAGTTCTCACTCCCTGGTGTGGTCATGGTTAAGTGACGACATGCTGGTGTCGCGTCGAACCTCTCTGCGCCTTCTGTGTTGTTCACTACCCCGTCGTGGTCATGGGACCAGTGACATCTCGCTGGGTGGTTGCATCGAAGCCGCCCTGCCTTTGCCATCGCGTGGTCATGCTAACGACAACATCCTGCCTGATGGTGGCGCCGCTACCTCACTACTCTGCTAATGCTAACTACCCTAATCCCTTGCTAGTCATGTTCCGAACGGCGTGAGGCGTGCTGCATCAACTTACTCCCTCTTTAATGGTACCCAAAACATCTTTCTTTGTTTTTGTATCAGCTTTCCCTCCTCCTGTAGTGTTCACTACCTTCGTTTGGTGATGATTCGAGTAGCATGCCGGGCGATTGCATCCAATCCCCTTACCGCCTCTGTGGTGTTCCGCGCGCTTGCCTTGTATGGCCATGGCACGAAAATCATGTTGCTTCCCTTCTCCTGTGTCGTTCACTACATCCGTCTCTTCAGCATTTGAGTACAGAAGGGGTAGGGAAGAATAGTCACGAAGGAAGATTATAAATGCCTTATGGCCACACAAGGGTAGTGAGGGTAGAAAACACTACTTGTGCAGAAGGGGTAGGGTGGTCTGATGCAAACATGGCCATGCAAGTCTGGCATCAAACATGATTCTGTTCGCACCATGACCATGCCGAGTAGTGAGCACGCAGAAGGAGGAGTGAGATGTGATGCAACCATCCAGCATGATGTTACTTGTAACAGGACCAGACAAAAGCTAGTCAACGGTAGAGGAGCACGAGTGAGGCCTGATGCAACAACCAATCATGATGCTGTTGATACCGTGCAAGGGTACAGTGGGGAAGTTTGATGCGTGTGAAAGCCTCGATTTTGGCATGCATGTTTTCCACCCAGCTGACTCCATGCATAGGTATGCATGTTGCACCCAGCTAAGTCCGCACGTAGTTAAATCGTCCCACATGTGAGTTGTCGAAATACATTGTTTACAGGACGGCGACACGTCCTGTGGGACGGAAGAATCTGCTTGCTCAGCATCCGCCAGTCCTCCGGTGCCTTCAGCAGAGGCTTTGCAGAAGGCACTTTCGCCACATCGAAAGATGCTCCAACGAGCCATTGCAACTGCCAGGGATTCTCAGCTGACAAACTTTGCCCTGCATCGTGAAACATGACTGCGTGCAGCCACCCACTGAGGAGAAAAAGAAGAAGCTTTATGGCTTGTGTGTTGACATCGCCAAGTCGTCCGACTGGATCGAGAAGGAGCTTTATGCCTGGTCTGCGCCGGTTCTAGTAGCACAGCGCTTCCGGCATGGCCCACGGTATTTCTTTGCAGATGATGGACTTCCTGTGCCTGGCAAGCAAGAGTCACTCCTGCCTTGCTGATGGTCAATGACAGGTACAAGCTGGAAGGCAAACCGTAAAACCTTTAAACGACAGAACCCACGTACATTGATGCAAAGGCAGCAGAAGAAATGGAAGGAGAACGTGCAAGGCACCATTTCCGCCTAGCGAAAGATTACCATCTCAGGCAAACGCAAGACAACTCACGGAGTGGTTCAACAGCTTGCTCACAAGGACAACCCTCTCAGTTGACCAGAAGAAGGCAGCAAAACGCAAGACTGGGCTCCTTTCTGAGTGCAGGACCCCGCGACAAATGTCTGAGCGGCCACCAACCACTCCTTCCGGCAAGCTTTGGAGGAAGTTCGTGAATCTTGGCTTAGAGGACAGCTGCAACACTGCACCTGCCAGAATCAACAACAGGGCAGATGGATGTCGATTGGTATTTGACAGCAGGAGGCGCTACGTGCACAGCCAGCCACTGTTCTGTACACCTACAAGTCGCCGGACAGCCTCTCGCAGGAGCAGGAGGCCATCAACAGGGTGCAGGGTTTTGCAAAATGCACAGGTTCCGCCGCTTGCTTTTCTGCCTTTACACGTGGTAGCTATCGCGCCATTCTCTCCGAACTATCCTTCTGTTCTGGGGCTTCGTCGGAGGTCATCGACCAGGAAGATGAGATGGAAGCTTTGGACAAGCTTGCTGGCTGGCTGGGTGAGAACTGCGAAAGGCCTTTTTGCAGGTACTGTGCATTAGAGCTGTCCGGAGACCACAGTGAAGCTTGTCGTAGGCCACCAGTCCTGGGGGCGATCGACGTGCGCAGAAACGAAGTGCCACTGAGCCTGTATGCAGCTGCCAGTATTGGCGGCCTGACAGCGCCGAACTTGTACTTCATCGCCCCGCGCTCAGAGTTTATGCTGACTGCAGTCTTGCCAGAACATTCCAAGAAGAGCAACATTGACAGACGTGGACCTGAGAGCGCGAAATCCCTTCTGCAAGCACGGAGCACGGCACATGATGAGCCGCAAGCAAAGCAAGGATAAAGCACGATACCGTT